GGCTGAGGGTTCCTCCTTGCTTCTTGGACTAAGACTTGCACCCACGTGTAGTGAGGGAAGGCTGTCTGCATCCTTCTGACCAGCTGCACTTCCTGGAATTCCCATGGGACATCACTGCATCGTGACGATGCTGGGAAGCACTAGAGAGCCTTCTGCTCATCTGCAGTGTAACACAGTGCAAATGAGCACAGTGCAAATCTCATTAATGCACATCCATAGCCCCACCAATCTTTGGTTGGGATAGATGACAATTTGGGTGCCGTGCAGTTTCCAACAGAATTTACCAAAAGTTCACAAAGTTGTCCACATCGGGACAGGAAGGATCTGGGTTTTTGAAGAAAATGCAACCGTGGGAGAAACTGAAACTGACTGATTTGTCCCTTCAACTGCAGAGCTTGAGTGCTTTGCTAACATGGTTTGCTAACTGGCATATGCAAGGTTTGAATACTTGTGTATCTTCAATTTTATTTAGAGTTTCCCATCTGTCTTTTCCCCTTTCCAACTGGCTCCTTATCTTTAAAGCTATATGTCAGGCAGGTATATCATCATCTTTTCCATACTGGGACTGGCTTTTGAATTTGGCTGGTGAAGATTGATGAGAATTTAATTGCATTTTTGGTTTTGATAAGATTTTACCCACATGCCCAAAGTTAACATTCAGGAAAGAAAGAATCTGATATTGTAAAAGTGCAGGAGAAAGCAAAATGGACAGATCCAAATGGACAAATGCAACTAAATGCAAGTAACAAATCCATCCGTCCCTGCTTTTATAACATAGGACTCTATATTATTAATGAATAAACTGCACAATTGATTCTGACTGGGAAGGATTTCATAAAGTTTGTTCAATTTTTAAATATGTTTTCTTTTTTCCTTGCAAGAAACAATACACCTTAATATATTCTGTCAATCTTTGTTAGGTTAGTGCTTTAAAAAAAACCAAGTTATTGTAATTTTTAATTAAAACTAGTATTTATGTCCCTTAAGAAAACAACATTCCATTTATCAGAGCTATAGGTTTGGTATTCTCTGTTGTTTATCTGGTTATATATAATGGCTGTAAACTGACACTTCCAAAACTTAATCGTTGTCAAGTGGACCTTTGTTTCTAAGGGAATTATGCCACAGCAATGCAGTAATAATAAGCACTCTGTGAGAAAGTAATATAAAATTCAGAGAAATTACCAAAAGCAAAGAACCATGGGAAATGGAGCTGTTTTTTTAACCCCTATATAGTTCTTGACTTTAAGTGTGGAAATGATGGAAATCATAAATATACCTGCTTTTAGGTTATGCTTTTGGTGAGTTTTTGAGGGCTCAAATGGAATGCGAGAAGGAAAAAATAAAAATCTCCCACAAGAGTTTGTATGTTATGGAATAAGTTTCCCTTACTGGGTCCATCTGGGCAACTTCTTTTGAGTATAGACACAAGTTAGATAGGGTAGTCTGCATTTGAGAAAGAAAAATATCTGTGTGGCTGTCCTTGTGGTTGGTATCTTAGTTCAAATGGCTCACCTCACCCACTTGTTCCACGTTAATGCACCAGGATCCCTGACCTAGAGAGCACCATGCCGGCATCAGATTGTGCACTCAGTGGCCTAAACATGACTTTGGTGTGGAACCAGCTGCATTGAATGCTACATGGGAAAGTTTATCCCCATGTATACAACAGTCTGTCCTCCACTGCCACAAAATATGACAAGATATATTTTCCATAAAAGACCAAAAGAATTCCACACCGTTGATAAGACAGAGAGGTGTGCTTGGCACCGACGCTTCATTCCTTTTGACACCAGGCCAAAACCTTTTTATTCACCTGGTATTTTAAGGGTTGATGGTGTATTACAATTGGAATTTTACTACATATTTTTATATTGTTACTGGTTTGTAAGCTGTCTTGAGATCCATTTCAGATAAAGACAGGGTAGAAATATTTTAAATAAATAAGAAGAGAGCAAAAAAAAAAGTACCAAAGGTAGAATTTGTTCAGAAGAATAGAATTAGGCATTTATTCTAATAGAAATATTGTACTATTATAACTTTTTAAATCTGTATTCTCTCTCAAAATTCATATTTAATATATTAAGTGCTTTCTTTCAGAATCATATATTACTATTTAACATGTTTCTGCCCAAATTTCCATTCCATTCCATTTCTATTTTCTTTTAAACGTCTCTGTATGTTTTAATACATAATATACTGGCACTTTCTCTCAAATGTCCTACTGAACCATGAATCGAAACATCTTTAGAATGAGTATTTTGGTAAATTTAAATAGTGAAGAACTACAGCACAATATTCAGAGAAGGACAACATTCAGTGGATACCTCAGTTGCAATCCACCTATTAGCCTGAGATAGCAATGATTGAGGAAACCATTTTCAGAGTCCTGCCGAGTGCATCCAGCATTTGCTGGGCATTTGTGAGCAACCGTGTCCATGTGCTATAAAAGCAGTGCCCCCTTTTGCTCGTGGTGCTGCCAATGGGAAAGAGGGCTGTCTCTGGACATGGCGCCCAGTGTGCCTGCCCTCAGTGCCCCTCTTTTCCATCCTGCAACCACTCCTTGGGCAGCTGCACCTGATGGGCAAGGTTGGCAGATGCACAACTGGGGATCTGCAAGCATTCACAGACTTCATCTTGGCACAGCTCGCTTTGCAGGACTGGGCTCAACATGAGAAGAAGCCCACAGATGCTGGAGGGACAGATTTCAAATCAATATATTACATATGTTCAGTAAAATATTTGGACAACTACCTATAGATTCTCAGCAGATCTGACCGTGTCTTGAACTCAAGATGGATGAGTAACTTTTCATAATGTTTTTCTTCTTTAAAACCCAAAATTTTAATCAATATACTAATCACGATACTGCATACATTCAGCAAAATATTTGGACAACTGCCTATAGAGTCTCAGAAGATCTGACCATGTCTGGGAATCAGGATGGATGAGTAACTTTCCATAATGTTTTTCTTCTTTAAAACACAAATTTGTCTGTCCTCTTTCCTCATCAGTTTTATAATAATAATTGCATACAAATGTCTATGAAGAAAAATGCACATATTTTTCCTAGTATACTGTTTTCTTGAACACATTTTCTCCAAATATGTACCTTTCCTATGGCCATTCTCCTATTGTATGAATTCTTGTACACAATTTTCATTAATGCATGCATTTTTGGATCAGAAAAAAACATTGCAAAATTCAGAGACATGACAAAATTGAAGGATAATTGCTTGCCAGTTCACGTATATGTTCAGGAAGTGCAAATTGATTTGGTTTCTATTATTAATAAGAATGAAACAAGTTTTACCACCATCCCTGGTGAAAACACTAATTTAGAAAAGTACAGGAATAATGACAATGGCATCAGTTCTTAATAATGTTGGGAGAACTAGTGGTGTTTCAGTTAACCTAATTTCTTCAATTCCAATTCAGAGCTCAGCTTGGGTCACACCTGTTCTAGACTGAGGCATGCCTGTGTTTTCTGCACACAATAAAAGCATGGAGATGTGCATTTTTAGAAGTGTGGACTTTTAAGTGCATGTATACCTTTTGTGACAGTAAGGTCAGGAATGTTCAGAGACCATGCTCTCGCATTCATATATTCGAATCACAGATTGGGACACCTAAGTGCAATAACACAGATTGGTTATCCTCAGAGAATAGCTTTATGAATGCAGAAGGCCCTGGAATCAATTTCCAACACCCTCCAGTAGGGCTAAGAAAGAGTCATCCCTGAAATCCTGGAGGTATCTTCCAGGTAGTGTCAACAATAAAGCCCTAGCTAGATAGTGTGACTTAATATAAGATGACTTTTCGTATTCTGTTGTGACTTCCCCCCACTTAATCCCATCCTCAGTTTCTTGATCACCTTGTATTTCATAACTATTCCAATTAACTAGAAGAGCATCCATATGCAAGCAGCATTTGCTTAAGCACTGGATGGATCCAACTGTGATGCAGTGCTAGCAGCATTGATGTTATGCTAGCATAAACCAAGGCCAGTGCAACTTCAAGAGCAACAGCAGAAAATCACCCAGACCCTTAAGTGGGCCACATGAGGTAGAATGCCTGCCTTCTCTGGTTCTTGTGGTCCATCGCCAACCATGGAGCCACCTTCTCCATGCCTGTTGATGCGATGTGCCTCACCCCTCCTGGTGGCACGCAGGAGACCACACACTGAGCTGTGGCTTTGAGCAGCTGTCAAAGGGTGGTGCCAAAGGGTGTTGCCCCTTTGGCACCCATTCAGAACCTCTTCAGTGCAGCTTCAAGTCCCAGGGCATGTGTGGTGGGGGAGAGGATATCTGAGTTCTGCCAAGTTCTGCTACATATTTTACTGTTAAATGTTTTAAACTTATGCTGTACATGTTCACCATCCAGAATGCCCTGCTCAGCTAAAGGGGAGGAGTATGAAAATACAATAAATGCATAAACAAATAAATATTAATAGGGCAACTGCCCTCGATTTATGCTAGTGCAGCATCAAGTTGAAATAACCCTTTCACTCTGGACCAGCAAGGAGTTTTGTGTAGGAAATCAGGCTTATGCTGCTGATAGAGATGTACCCTGGACATGCTCACAGGTATACTGTGGTACTCTTACAAGCACCACAGTAATCTCTGGGTGCAACATGAAGTGGGACTGTGCATTCCTATGGTGCTAATGGGTGACCACAGATGACTTCGCATTATCATGGGAATCAAATCCCCTTGAAGTGGGAACCTGCTCCCATTTTACCTTATAGGAACTGGACCCTAGGAATTTAGGACAGAATTTAGTGGTGCAAGGCTTTCCACCAGATTCTAATTTGTGTGCCTGCATGTGTTTGTGCACACGTGCATGAAGATAAGTGTGGTCCTCTACAGCACATGAGTTTTACTAGCTCTCCCTTTTAGTCCTTCAATAAGTACAGCTTTGAAAGTGCTTGAGTGCAGTGCTACTGAAAAGAGCTGAGTTACTCTGAAAATTGACCTAGCCTATCCACATCTCCTGCTTTCTCCAAAGTGTTCTGCCCCCCTGTTTTTATCACTGATGGCACCCCAGTGACCTCCTCTTTCACAGCACAGCCTCAGAGAATTTATTGAACACTTCGCCTCCTCTGTGGTCCTGGAAAAATCCCCTGTGATTATCTTATTAGTCTAGTGAGGATTCTGTGGTGTAATTCAGCTGCCTTCTCACTTTTTGCAGCTACTTAGTGAAGGAGAAGAACCTTTTTGCTACCACGGAGACAATTTGATTAATCCATATTCATAATTAGATATTTCTGTGCTTCAATGAATAGCTGAGTTCAAATCTGATGGCCCCTTTTGTCATGCGAGTGAATAATATATTCAATCAGTTGTTTTTAGACTGGAGGAAAGACTGGAAAAGCAAGAAGCTTCCCTTATAGAAGTAACTGTGCTGGATAGGGATGATGAAAGCTGTAGTCCAATATTTCTTGAGGGAAAAGTTGAGTAGTGTTGCTTGTTTCACCGCTTCAATCAGCAATCAAGAAGGAAGGACTGGGTGTGATCTAGGGGTGTGATTTCCTCTTGTCATAAATAAGAAACAATGAAATGAGTAGGACCCTTTTATTCCATGGGTTATGCAATAAACAGTTACAATATCCCACTTCCTAATACAAAACTATGTTTGGCAGATTCAGTGAGGATGCGGGAAATGCCCATTCTCAGTTGAATCTTTTTTAATCCAAATCCTGGATGCTAATTATTGTTCATGCAGAGCAAAGGAAAAGTCCTAATGGATTTTTTATGGTTCTCAGAAATGAAAGACAAGGCCTTGGGAAAAGGATGCCAGGTAGCTAAGATTTTGCTTAGTGAGATTCTGGGGACACTTCTTAACTTAGCCTGAAGCAGAATCAAAAGTTATTAGTATAGGTAGAAGAGCATTTGGGTTTTCAGTTTTAGAAAACCATAAACAATGACAAATGGATAATGAAGTACATGAAATGCTTGCAGATGAAACATGGAATATTTCTTGTTAAAAAAAGAAAACTTAAAGGATTTTTTCCCCGTTCATACCCATTGTGTATTCTTCATCTTATTCTCAGTTCAAACACAACAGGAAATCTGGCCAGTTCTCCACATAAACAGAATCACCCCCAGAATATGTCCAAAAATAACCTGTAATCTGCAGGGGTTCCTTGGCAGACTTGCAATAGTTCTTTAGCAGGTATCAGGATAGGAAGGACTTCTTGTAGGCAGATGTGTCTCCTTAGTAAATACTACTGAAATGTAGTTTCTATGAAAATGTGCATTACAATGATGTTTACTTGGGGGTTGTGGGTTAGGGACAGGGTTAGCATTAGCGGTGAAGGTTCAGGTACTAATGCCTTTGTGTGCATTTAGAACTGTAGAGAGTTTTCCTTATACATTTCCAAATGCTTGCAAGTTCATGGAAACCTTCCCCTCTCCCACCTCCTCCTTTGTCTTTCCTGTTTCATTTCACAGAATGCACAGTTTGGAAATTTATGGATTTCTGACCACAAATTGCAAATGCAAAACAAATCAGTTTTCAGTTCAGGGAGGTCTGAATCAGCAACAAAGTGAAATTCTTAACCTTCCTTAGGGCAAGGTGGTTCCACTGCTGGGTTGGAGTGTGATGAGAACCATGTGACCAGTGGGAATATCAGGCCCTGCTGTTCAGATAAAATCCCTGTTCCTCTCCCATATTTGCTCAGAATCCTTGTCATCTAAAGATGAGAAGTTTCATGACAAATCCATATTCAACTACCTATTTTAACTGTCATTATATATAAGATCTTTTAAAATATATTTTGTTCATATTTTTAAAGCTGAGAGCTGTGCTACATCAGTTTGGATTAAGGTCTTACCTGTACAGTATTCTAGAAAATTTGTGTTGGGTCAATTTGTTCCAGAATTCTTAGGTACCAAATGCTTTAAACGGAATGCATCTAAGACCTAGCGATAAAGAATCACAGCCTCTGTAATAACTCACCCATCTCCAGTATAACTTTTGTCATGACAACCAAGTTACTGTCTTAGCCATACTGGTGTATTATCTTTCCAGAGTCTTCAATGTATCTTGACTGGAGCAGTGGGCAGTCTGTTTCCATCTTTCTCTTGGCAATGCAGTTGATCCTAGAACAGAGCTGATGACACCACAGATCACAGAATCATCTGACATTTCTTTGAAAACTCTCTGTCTTTCTAAGACAATTGCTTTCCTGAATTCCACTAGGGTGATGCCGTCTCCTTTGACTACTAAAAAAGCTTTACCAATAAAATTCACTTCTCAGTATCTGAATTCCCTTTTAATGGAGTGAAACTACAGCAGGGATGGGCAAACTCATGGCCTTCAAATACTTTGGCCTACAATTCCCATCAATTACTATGGGCTGCACTGGCTAGGGCTGATCAGAGCTCTATATCAAAATGCCTGGAGGAGTACAAATTGTCCATCTCTTATTTAGAGGAAGAACATTGGCCAAGATACCTGGAACTGCTTAAGTTGCAAGACCTGATCAGAAAGCATGTGCATTTGTAGACAGTGGAGACCCACCTCCAGCTTGATTTTTACCCTTTGAGCACCCCAAGCTTTTTTACACTGAGTGAGTCTGTCTTGCCAATACTACTGGCTGCCACCCCCACAGACATAAGCAAAGCTTTTGGTCATCTTGTCTGGTGGGGATGCCCGGGATTCAAGTCTGGGCTTCTTAAACATGCAGAGCGTGTGCTATAGCGATGGATCCCCTCATTTTGCAAGATAACAGCACAGGCCTAGGCAGACAGAGGACACCCACATCCATTTAGGTTTTCAAAATGTGGAGCACGCACAGCTCTCCTATGATGAGCTGGTCAGTTATGACAAATGGAGATCAGATAACACTCTCTTAAGTTCTTCCTACCATTCAGCTACAGTCACAACTATCTATTTATAAGATGGTTGCACATGATCTCCAGCAATATATTTCACCTGCCTGATAGTATTTTGAGTTGCTGCAGGCAGAAGGCATCCAGTGATGTTTCTCTGGACATTACAGGAATCCATGAGGGAAAATCAAGGTGTGTGCATTTTATATCTGGCCTTTCTTCCATTGCTGAAGGATACATAGAATGTCCATAGCAAAACAAAAAGCCCAGGCATATGTATAACATTAGCAGAATTCCCATCCAGGAACTGAGCAGGTCAATGCTTGCTTAGATTGAGTAAAGCAGCTAGTTTCATGTGCCTTGAAACAAATCTCATGCCTTCTGGTTGTGTTGTGTTGCTTTGTGTTGCTTTGTTGATGGATTTCCTAGCCACCTCTAAAATAGGGATAAACTACCAGTTCATGTCACTTTTCCATGTTTACTCATAAGCCTTTTCTGTACATTTTTTATTAATTAGTATTTTTTAAAAAATCACCTTGAAATACATAATTTAATGGATTTTATCAAGGCTTAGACATACCTTGAGTAAGCCCATTGAATAGAACAGGGCTATGTCTGACTCCCAATACACTTTTAGAATGATTATCTCTAAGTATATATTTCCTCAAAAGGCTTATTTCAATGTATTTTTATTTGGTTTTGGGGTCAGGGGGTTGAGCACAGAAGCACGTTGGGAAAGGATGAACCCAATGGATAGTTAAATTGTGACTCAGCCTGCATTCAGGTGTGGATTAGTTCCTAACACAAGAAGCAAATTTCCCTAGCATCCTACTCCAAAGGGTTTAATTCACCATCAACATGCACAGTTACTCTGTCTTATGTTTGATGAAGATCCAACAGACTGTCACCTGCAGGTCCTGAAGAACAAAGACCAATGTCATTGTTCGCCAATAACTTCCCATAGCTTTAATATGATGGATACACATTTCACAGAAAACATGCTTTATAGCTCAGTCATATGGCACCATCATCGTTTCAGGGTAATACATTCTGGTAATATTGTTGTTGCTTTATAAGGTGATCTTCATAATATGACTCTATACATTTATATAACTGCTCAGTGCAATTACTATAAAAACCTTACAAGGCAATAATCTTCCGTAATCTCACCACCGCTGTGTATTTCCCTTAAAAGGATCATAGAATTTCATCACAAAATAATATTGAACTCACCATGTCCTACAGACATATCCCTCCACCCCAAAATAACCAAGGCTTCAAAGCAGCAGGGAGTTTATTGAAATATGGCACATGCTGCCTCTCAGTTCTGTGAATAGCCATTAAAATCAATTAGTGCCTTTATTTCCATAGAGTCTCCTGTAATCATTTGCTGAAAGTACTCCTCTAAGATTAATAATGCACTTTTTTCAAGTCACTCAAAACTGATGATGATTATTACTATTATTACTTATCAAACAATCAGTAATATTCTCATCATATTCTGCTAGATCCTTTATTATTCATGAACAGGTTGAAAATCAAAGCAGCTTTATAAGGGCACAAACCATTGTTGCCATAAGATTTCATTGCTCTGTTGTATTGGAGGCAGCTCATAGGAAAGCTTTAGAGCAATTGACTCCAAACATTCCCTGGACAGTGCAAATTTCCTAGTTTCCATTATCAGAATGACAGAACTTGCTTGCAATGCATTTGAAGGATGTGTGGAACATATCTGAGAAATCGTGGTCGAGAAATATACAGAGAGAAAGAGAATGTGTCTGTGTGTGCACACACACATATGCGTGTATGCTTTCCTCAGCATCCATAGGGTATTTTATGCAAAAGGGGAATCCATATAGTGACCCAGCTACAGTGCTAGCAAGTGAAAGCCTTAGTGAGATCAACCATTTTTCAACCTACAACCTTCACAATTCTGAATCCCAGAAAAAAATCATATTTTAATAGGATTTCTCCCCTAAGATACGGATTTTCTTGTGTGTTTTTGAGCCACAAACCAAGCCAGAACTTTCAGCAAGTCTGAAAGCCAACAGCTGTCTAAGACTGGGACATGAGGTCATCCCACAAATTTAGTCTAGACATCCGTCTGAAACTCAGAATCAAGTTACTTGTACCATCAGCTGAAGTTACAGACTGGGTCCCAGATACTTAACCTTGCTATGATGACTATCCTAATGAGGACATGTGCTTCAGAACTGACCACTATGTGACTGAGCAAAGTGGCCTGGAAGTTGAATTCTTCTTCAACAATAGCAATTGGGCACAGACCTCTCTGGCATAAGAAGAAACTGGCTAGTTTAGGAGATATATGAGAAATTTCTTCTCCCCACTTCTGTCACTATCTGCCAGAAAACTGTTTCTTCATTGGGCAGTCTTACCTACGAGGTCCCCTCCCCTCCCCTCCCCTTTCCACAAATGCTTCTATTTCTGGGCCTAGGAACCGTGCTCCTAAAATTCAGAGTTCCACAAGCTGACCATTTCCCAGTGCCACCAATTCTGCTGGAATACTTTAAAACCTCCTCATGGGTGGTGGCATAAAGAGGCTTAGGCAGGAAACAGGCAGTAACACTTGATTCAAGTTGAGCAATTAAATGACTAATTTGCTAAAGTGATGTTTATACTTAATTAAATGATTTAGTAAAGGAACATTTGTACTAAAGCAAGTAATTTACTAATTGCATGCTAATATTTGCTTAGGGCATTTTAAAATGCTGCTCAGTGACAGCTCCCATATGTTCTTGACCAAAGGTTATAGGCTCCTTCACTCTTCCACCAAGTGTGCAGTTTCAGGAAGGACACATGAGGAAGGGTGATGGAGGAAGGGGACACCTGCCTAGCCAGTCAGATTGGTCCAATCCACCCTGGGGATAACTGGGGTTACAGATGTCACAGCCAAATCACTCTCACAACCTCTGCTTAGTGGCAAATCTTTAGGATTCAAGAGATACTGTTACAGATACAAACTTCTTGGGGCTTCTTTTACTTCATGCCAACTAATCTGTCTTAGGAGTACAGTCTTCCTTTGGTATCCATTACATTTTATCGCTACTTCTCTGGATAGTCTTTCTGGATCAGCTTTTATAATGTGCCCTGACAAGATCCTAGGGCACAGCCACATGTTCCCTAAATCCTGTTTTCCACCAGCCACCTAAGGTTATCTCACATGTATTCAAAGCGATTCCCTTTCTCCTTAGCTAATCCCATGTCAACTAGCAGAAGATCTCCCTGTTCCCCGCTCCCCCCCCCCCCTCTGACCCTGCACACCCTTTCAACTGCCAGACTTAAATGTTATTCCCTCCCAGCTTCTTTCCACCTAGCTAGAATCCCCAGACAATCAGAATAGAACTGATCTCATCTGGGTTCCATCTAATTCAATGTATTTCTCTCTTCAGTGTGTTCAATGTAATTCTCCCTCTCCCCCACCCTTCAGAATGTCATTCAGCAGCAACTACCCAGCCATTAAAAGAAACAAAGCAATGGCTCAGCCCACTCAAATACATTGTACTTTCAAGAGAGGTTGGACAAAATGCATGTTACAGAACCACAAAGCATGATATACAGGCATTTACTTCAAGACTGATTGGGCAGCTTTTCTCTCGGAGAGATAAATGCCTGCAAAATTCCCACTGCTGCCCCAGTGTCTGCATCAAACATCAAGGTGGTTTCTTCAATCTGCCTAATGGTAGGGCCGGCCCTGTCCTAAATACTTTTCATATACGTAGTTCCACATATAGCACATCTACCAAAGTTGGTTGCAACATTTTTTAAAAATAAACTTCAAGAAATGTTGGCCTTTAAAATGTACAAAGACTTCTAGTTGACTTATGTGGTTAAAAAAGTTTCCATACACTAATTCTGTCTTTCTTTTCCAAATGGAAATATTCAGTGATCACATAACAACAAATATATTCACAGTGCAGGAAATGTTACATTTTCTTCCAAAATCCTACACAACGTAGGTTAATCCTATGTAGTTTAATCCTACACAGAACTGAGCCATTGAAACACTAAGACTCTGTTTTATGTAAACTATATAGAGGCTGTTCCACTAAAATGAATTCATTTTTGGAAGTCTACTTTATATAGATATAATATTAGATACTATGCAATATAGTTAAACAGGTAATGAATTGCACATGGTTTTCTCTACTGTTTCTAAGCAAACCTCCTTCTTGCTGGAAGACAATTTCACTTTGTTGCAATTTGATTCATGATTCTTTTGGATGTCAGTGTGATGCTTCATTATGTGGAACTGAAAAGGTTCCTGGCTGCAGAAAAGTTTTGGTGTTGGATACTGTTTTTAAATGAAGAGTGCACAGTTCGTTATTAGGATGCACAGAAATGCAGTAATTATAAGAGAAATAGCATTCTGGAAGAATTACTATGCAGTCAAAAAGGGAAAGAAAAAAGGAAATCACTGTTCTTCCCCTTGAGTGGAAGGAGATGCCGAAGTCCATAAGAGCTCCATCCAAAGAAATGTCTTCTCAAAATTGAGTGCTACAAAAAAAGTTGCTTCCAAGTAGGAGCACTAAAATTCCCCCAATGTTTTTCTGACTTTCCTGTTGAATAGTTCTGATAAATGTATTATTTGCCTCATTTGTTTATACCATGAATAAACAATCTGGTGCCCTCCAGACATTTCAGACTAGAACTTGAATATGCCCAACCAGCATGGCTAATGGTGAGGGAACATGGGAACTGTTGTCCTAAGCATCTGGAAGGTTTCAGGTTGCTTACCCTAGGGCCATGTATAAATTAGGGTCACTTGGTTGTTTGAACCTACAAGTGGCAACATAAATTGTCTTGATTTGCATTTGCTGGATTCTCATGCAGATCAGAACCTTGTCAGGTACTGGCTATCACACTTCCTGAATTCCTGGTGCAGTGTTCAGGGAAGCACCAGAATATAAACCGCATTGAAAAGTATGCATTCAAATGCACATTTTAATGCAATGTTCGGTGCAGATTTTTTCCTTTAAAAAGGCAGCTTACCCCAGAAGCAAAATGGAAAAGTTTTAAGGATAAATAAATGTGGCAGTGATTTATTCTAGAACAGTTTTCCCAGCTTGATACCCTGCAAACATAATGGATTACAGTTTCCAGTTTTCTTGACCATTGGCTATGCTGGATGGTGCTGTTGGAGGTTGAAATCCACAGTACCTGTCAGTTGGAAAGGATGAAAATATACTGATTTACCTATCCCTAGTATGAATTCACTTTGAGATACCATGGATATATTCTCATAGGAAAAACTTTCACATCACCTGTTCACACAT